TTCATAACTTTTCATGTATCTTACTTTGCTCATGGTTAGTAGCAAGTTTTCCATGGTTATTTTACCACTTGTTTTAAATTAGGCGGAGCACAATCAATTATTATATTTCCATTATCGCTCTTCTCACTAAAACTATTTTTTCGACGAAAATATAAAAAAGACGAAAAAACACTTAGTTTATTTTACCGCCTTTTATTTTTTTTAAAGTAAGCAGTATAGGCAGGTATTTTTAATTCTCGGAATCACGAACACTGGGCAGTTGGCTGTATGAATTTTTCATTTGCCTGTTTACGTAGTTTAATAGATTTAAAAGTTTAGAGGACAGTACCATTACTGTCCTCTATGGAATTTCATACCATAAAGGATGGAAAAAAAACATTTCATACTCACTTTGCAGGCCTTGGCCGGGAAGAAGTCGCACGGACCATAAATGGCAAACTTTTCGTGTTCGTTTTTTGAAAGTAATGCAAACATTTCTGAGCATGTCTGACAAAAATATATATAATTATAATACAGGTATTTTTTTTAATTAACTCGAAACTATTGATTTGTTAAACAACAAATTATTAATAAAAGTTCCATTCATTGAGCGTTGAGGTGTGAGAGAGGAGAATGGAGTAGGTTAATACTTGAAAATAAAACAATATTCATCTAACGAGTTCTTGGGTTTTCACACACGTAGTGGTCAGTGGTCACACTATTTACTCTAATTAGGCGCCAGTTAACATTTCAATTTCCTAATTCTTTGTCAATTTTCTTAACTCTTTGTCATCCCATTTAGGCTGATAACTTTATAACCAGTGACCAATTAATACTTAAAATTGAAAACAATTAACTTTCCTACATTCAACTTATAATTAAATGATAATATTTAATAAATCTTACTTGTTTTATAATATGAAAATAATTGTATGTCATTTAATTTTGTCCATCAACAATTACGTAACAAAACAAATTATCAAGGTTAATCACCCACCAATATTTACAACAATATCAATAATAACCTCAAAAGACAGCCGGAAGAAGTCCACTGCTGGACATAGGAAAGTTTTGGTTTCAAAATTGGCCTAATAAAAAAAACAGATTTTTCGAACTAAATATTAAGCCAGGATCCCAACACTGAACTTTATACTTTCGTGCTTCTGAAAACTAGCAAAATCCACGTAAAGTCTATGAAAAACGGTACAGAAATACGCGTTTCGTCTCAAAATTGGTCAAATCCAAAGCACTTGCAATTCAAAATCAATCAAATCCGGGACAGCCAATCAGCTTCAAGTATTTGATTTCACCGAGTCGGCCATATTGTTTTCTCTTCTTTTCGCAGTTTAGTTGAGTGAAGAACTTTATGCCGAGTTTCGGTAAAAAACTAACAAAATAATGGAGGGAAATGAGGTGTGTATAGCAGAATCTAGGCCTGAAATGTCAAAGAAACGGCCGCAACAAAAATTGACATAGAAAGTCACAAAAACAAAAATTGCTCGCTAACATTTAGTAAGCGAGACCTAAAGGTCAATGCGTCACTCATGTTTACAATTCGCACCTTTCGTAAAGCAGGGGTGCTCAACCTCAGGTTCGGGTGACATACATTCCTAGCTCCTACCAATTTTTTTTCTTCTTTTAGTGTGGTCGTAGAAGTTTTAGTTAGACCAGCAGTAGTACAAAATAAAATTGAAGAGGGAATATGCGAGATGCTGGAGGAAGCACATTTAATGATATAGACCTAATTTTAATGGTACCTACACCTAAGCAGTTTTAGGTTCAACTCACACTGGCGCAGAGTCGAAGCGTCTCGCGTCGCGTCCTATTTTTCCACTACAACGCCTGGCGACGTGCGTCCTCCAATCATAATGTTATTGTATTTGTATTTGTTAAATTAATTATTTTTTTAGCTGTGTTCAATAATATGACAAAGCTATGCGTAGCTGTTAGTGGAATGCAGATTTGTTCTCTATTTATGTGCCAATAAATAAATAAATAAATTTTAAGATTCCGTTTTTCAATAAAAGAAAATTATTTTAGTATTTAATTCCATCACTTAGATAAGCAAACTGTTGCCTATTCACAAGACAGCCATTGACTACCCCTGACCTTTTAAGTGCTTCAATAACAGAAATGGTTTTAAGTCATCAAGCAGCATTCAAAATTAGTCAAATACTAAGTCAGTAACTTTCAATATTGTACTTTTTCTAATAAAAATGGAAGGTCAAGTGCATGTCAACGTCAAGCCTGACCCTTAAAAAAATTCTACTTTATGACGCCATAATAATAAAAGCGTTAACATTGGTTCAAAGCCCAATGTCAAACGTGATACATCCGTTACTGTACCTAGGTAAATAAGATAAAGAGAAGAGTAAAATCTGACATCGTGATAATATTTTTAATTAATACAAACATATGACTAAAAAAATAAACAGACAGACAAGTCCTTATTACAAAACGCTTTATATTTACTACATGGTTTATTTGCATTATGACGAAATGAATACATTTATATTTCAAACTGCTTTTGATTACACTCGATAATTGTTTACTCATTTGTGAAGGGCCATATTCATTAGCGAACGTATTGTCGGCAGTTACTAATAAAATTTATTTGGTGATTTTTTATCAAAGATGTCGGATCATATGTTGGCTCACACGGTCAACATGTTCGCTAAATAATACTGCGCTTAAGGGTTGGTTCGAATTGCCAATAGTCAGGTGACAAGAGGCTGCGATGCATTAAAACGAGCAATGCATCATAAGCTTTCATTTCTACAAGATAAGGTTACATTTCAAAAACCATAAAATAAGATGCAGCAAGCAGCGCCTGACGGCGTCGGGTAACCTATCACAAATATGAAAATTTTTTTGTCCGAAATAACGTTTGTTTGGATTTTCATTACACCGGAATTATAACGAAATAGTTGTTCTTTCAGGATATGTTGCATGTTTATCACAAAGACACTATTAGGTTCGGTTAGGTTAGGTTGAGTTCGGCCCACGCTCCCCCCCGAAGGGGTTCCCGCCTTGTCGTGGCGGGGGGGCTCTAGTAGCCGTGGTCGATTTCATCCCACGGTGAAGCTAAGAGGAACCCACGGGGCCGGCCGATGGTGGTAGGCTGGCCCGAGGAGGAGGGCGTTCCGCGCGGGACTCGTCTGGTCAGCGGGACCGCGCGGATGCGCGAGGAGGAGGATCGCGGGGGGAGAGACGTGTCGGTGTGTCGTTGCCGCTCGTTCTGTCCTCCGCGACTCTGGCGGGGCTGCACCGCTTTCGACGATGCAGTGGCGGCGGGGCCGCGGGGGAAGAGACGTGTCGGTGTGTCGTTGCCGCTCGTCCTATCCTCCGCGGCCGAACGTGGGCGGTTGGCCCGTGGTGGGCGCTCCAAAGGTCTCCAAAGGACTCTCTCCGGAGAGTCCGCGCGGAAGCGCGTTAGGTATTGCGGCGGAGCCAGCCATCAGATCCACCGCGGGGGCTGGGGGAGCAGCCACTGAACTTCTCAGTTGAGTGGATGCTGTCCTGGCCCCCCATGGACCCTGGGTAGCGGACTCGGGGGAGTTCGTTGCCCAGTATAAAGGGGCCCGGGATGGAAGGCTCGTCTGGTGTTCGGCGAGCCCCACATTTGGAGTCTGGTGTCTCCCTTCTCGAAGAGGGGCTGCGCAGGGCGCGGCCAGCCGCTGGTGGGGGCGCGGACGAGTGCAACAGCGTACCCGTACTCCCACCTACAGCGGAGAGGAGGAACACTCCGGGGGTTTAGTGCGGTCGGGCTGCTCCCCTTCAGGGTTCAGCCCAGTCCCACATAACCCCGGCTCTGCCCCCGCGGGAACGGGGTATCTGTAAGCAGATTCCCCCGGATTAACAAAAAAAAAAAAGTTCGCCCCACGCTAGAGCAGCTAGTGAGGGTGTGGCGTGCCGCAAAGGCCCTCTGATCGCCCAGATACGGGAAGCGCACCGTCCAGGCGCTGCTCCCGGTACTGGCCGATTGGAGGAAGACTTATATTTACCTTTACGAATATTTTCTTCTCAAAATTACTTTCGAGGTTATGAAATTTCGACCAAACGTTATTTCTGGAAAAGGTAATTTCGGACTACTGGTAACCCGGCGTCGAGCTGCACTGAACTCAGTTTACAAAATGCAATATAATATAGAACATATCTCGTACTAAATAAAGTATACAATTGTTTGAATGCAAAATAATAAAAATATTTCACGCTTAGCTTCACGTCGCAGCGCCTCGCAGAGCGACTCACCCGGTCGTCGGCAGCTTGTGCCTAAGCAAGTTTGCACTCTGCATGCTTTTCGTATTCGTTCCGAATCCGAGACTATAGCACATACTAGTAGCAATAGAGCTCCTTGTAAAAGAGTTCGTCCAGGGAAGTCATCGAGTATATAACCAGAAATAAAGAGGAAATGTCATTTAATTTGTTTGAAAACTATTCTGCCATATCATCACTGTGACAACTGCGCTCCGATTGGCCAGCCCGACTTCAAAACAATTGACGGGTGTCGTCAACTGTTTCACTTCAAATCGACCAGTTAACTTGAGCTTTGCTATAATGGACGAAAATTGTAAAATTACATGTTTAATGTTTAATTACCGATGAAATGTGATTCCGTTTGTTTTGTTAAATGTTTTGCTGTTTTTCCTACACCACCGAATAGAACAGCACGGCATTGTTAGAGATATTATCTTTATTACAATAAATACAGAATATTTTTTGGAATATACGGAGACGTACACATAGGTCAGTAGTTGGCCTGTCTATATTTCTGTGCAAACGAGAGTTGATATTTATGAGAGCTGTATCGTTAATGTGTTACCAGGAATATGTGGCCCTTATTTAGTCTCTATTTCTGGTTATATACTCGATGAGGGAAGTACTGCCACCTTACCTATTTCTGCCGCTGAACAAGTGTCGTCGTCGAGGCGATTCCATATTTGCATAACACAAATTTATACCTTAATAATAGGAAAATAGAGATAAATATGCTATAGGCTAAAAACATGACGCGTCGCGACGCTTCGACTCTGCGCCAGTGAGAGTAGAGCCTTAGCCAAAAAAAAAATTGTCATTACATTCTAAGCTGTAGCATTCTATCGATATAACTAGAATTTTCCTTAGAAGAAGGCTTAGTTGAAATCATATGACGCCTAGAGCATGTTCCTTAATAAAAATTTCGTGCTTCAAAATCTGCGTGAAGCCACTCAAAGTGCTGCAACCGCTGTTGTCATTGATTGGTGCTACGGACATTATACCGCGAAGGTAAAAGCGTTCTATGCCACGCTCTGTATCAGGGAACACTAGGCCGCCGCCGCCGTCACCTCTGCATAGGGCTGGATCTGTACCTAAAAAAAAGTATTTTGTTGATTAGCTTAGTTGGTTTCAAAATGGCTATCGCAAGGATTTGCTTAATGATTTCCCGCGAACAAATGTCAGAAAATTAAACTAATGAAGTAAAATCATCTCAGTACATCTCAGTACTAAAAAAACTGACGTTAAACGTCCGTGGAATTACACCTATTTGTCAAGTTTTATTGAATTCGTTTTACCGGAAAGTGCACTAAACCGAATTCATCCCTAGTTTGCCACCCTTAGAGGTGGAATATTTTCTTCAAATTTAAGTGAGACCACTACTGAGGTACCCTCTTTCCACCAGAAAAGGAATCATCAAAATCGGTTCACAAATGAGTTATCGTGTAACATACATAGAAAAAAAAACATCCAGCCGAATTGAGAACCTCCTCCTTTTTTTGAAGTCCGATAATTACAATCGCATTATGGCTAATTAGCCACCATAGCTTGTCCCGAAGGACGAAAAATGTTACTAATTCATTAGAAAAGAACATGGCGGGTTTCTGAGAACACTGGCTGAAAGACTACGAAGCAATTAACAACATAGAAAATTATGTAATAGTCAGTTCGTTCATAAGAAAGAGCTTAAGTAGAGGCGGATCCATGATTATTATTAAACGTAACTTAAAATTTAATAATTATATTACTTCAAAATAATAATTATGGAAGACAGTTTAAGGCGGATTTTTCCAATCAAAAAAAAAACGTAGTATTAGGTGGAGATTTCAATTTAAACCTGTTGGAAAACTCTTCTACTTCTGTAAGACTCATTAATGTATTTCAAAGTTTTAACTTCATTAATCTTTTTTTAGAACCATCTCGCATCACTGCCTCCTCTTCTACTTGTATTGATAACATCTTTTGTAACACAGACGCAGTGTCTAAATCAATAATAAATTGCTTAAGATCAGACCATAGTGGCCAATTGGCTTCTTTTAATTGTAAAATGAGCAAGAGGGTAGATCAATTTCTCTGCAGACCGATTACCACAGAACGAATCATTAGATTTCAATAATATCGGCAATAGCTTAAATTCCAAATACTTTATATAACACCATATTTGGTTTAATTAAAAATGAATTTGATAATATGTATATTTAAATCGAGAACATTAACTTTCCATAGAGAGACTAAATTCAACGACTGGGCAACAGTAGGTATTCATAAGAGTAGGTCTCGTTTGTATGAGCTATATGCTATGAAAACTTATAATACTAATTTCAATTTCATAGAATATGTTAGAATTTATTCAAAAATATTTAAAAAAGTATGTGTAGGTGCTAAGGTTAAGTTCACAGCGACAAAATTAGACAATCGATAAATAAATCTGAAACTGCTTGGAGCATAATAAATACAGAGTCAGGCAGGGTTAAACAACACGATAGATATATGGTTTTAGAATTAGACAGCAAACTTATAAAATCTAAAGATAAAGTAGGCCAAGCTTTTGAATCGTTCTTTTCGGAAAATGCTGTGAACCCTACAGAATCATTAAATTCCTCCCCTTCACTTGCTATTGGTCTCCTAAAGGAAAATGTTAACGTTTGTGGCAGTTTATTAATTTCCGTCATGTTAATAACAAGACATCATAAAGCTTTTAAATCAATACATGTTAAAAAAATTGAAGATCTCTGGGGCATATCAACTAAAGTTATAAACTGAGTTATTGATCTAATTTCCTCACATTTAGCTGTAGCTTTCAATAGCTGCGTTGACGAAGGTGTTTTTCCCGATTTAATGAAATACAGCAAGGTTATTCCCTTATTCAAAAGCGGTAGGAAAGTTGATCCTAGCAACTATACGCCCATGTAAATTTCACCAGCTTTAAGTTAAATATTCGAAAAGGGTTATGCTAACTCAATTATTGTCCTATTTCGGTAGGAATCGTATTTTTCATAGTGAACAATACGGGTTTACTGGTAGATCGACTAGCGATGCGGGGGTAGCGTTACTAAAACACATCTTTGATGCTTGGGAAAGGTCCCAGAACGCTATTGGTGTTTTCTGTGACCTCACAAAGGCATTTGATTGCGTTGATCATATTACTCGTATTAGGAAGCTGGAACATTACGGTGTAAATGGCAAGGCGTCGAAACTTGTCTCGTCATATCTCAACGGCAGAATTCAGAAAGTAAACATAAATGGAGTGACTTCTTTGGGTTCTCCGGTAAAAATGGGTGTTCCGCAGGGCTCAATACTTGGACATTTCTTATTTATGATTTATATTAATGATCTGCCATTCTTTGTTAAGGACCATTGCGAAATAGTGTTGTTTGCTGATGACACATCCTTGATTTTTAAAACAGACAGACATGACATTAACTATGACCATGTTAATGATACCCACTCTAAGGCAGTTTATTGGTTTAATGCTAACAATTTATTGCTTAATGCCAAGAAGACAAAATGTGTTAAATTTGAATTACCTAACGTAAAATCGTCTAGTCCAACCATAGAAATAAACGGAGAAAAGTTAGACCTTGTTATTAAGCAGTCTTCTTGGGAGTGACGTTAGATAGTAAACTTCAATGGTTTCCACATATATCTTCCCTGGCCAGCAGATTAAGCTTCGCTGCATACGCAGTCCGCAGAATACGTGAGCTTACCGATGTTAGTACTGCTAGACTAGTTTACTTTAGTTACATCCATAGTATAATGTCCCACGGGATTCTCGTGTGGGGTAAAGCGGCAGATATTCAAACCATATTTGTATTGCAAAAACGAGCGATTCCTTCTGTGTACTGTCTAGGCTCTCGGGTTTCTCTCAGAGGAAAGTTTAAGGAGACTGGTATCAGGACTGTGGCATCACAGTACATTTACTCAAATATTTTGTATGCCCGTAAAAATATACATAATTTCAATAAGAAAGAAGATCCATAATATTAACCTTAGAGCTAAGGCCAAATTCATGGTACCACGATTTCGTTTAACCAAGGTAAACAACTCTTTTATGGGGAACTGTTTACGTTTTTACAATAAGATTCCGGAGCATATATTAAGTTTATCATTTCCTAAGTTTAAATACTACATTAAAAATATTTTGATCAAAAAATCATATTACAAAATTGAAGACTATGTGTTAGATAAAGGTGTATGGAAAAACGACATGGCTCCAGAATCAAAACAAATTTGATTCAAACTGTATTCCATAGCATTTAAGTTTATTTGAAAGAGCAATCCCTAGAGTTTCTTGCTCGTTCTTCTTAGGGAGGTCAGCGTAGTGAACGAGAAGTAGCATAAATGTGACGTTTTCAAGTGTAAATTTATTTTACCTATAGAATGAATAATCTTTGACTTTGGCTTTGACTCTGTAGATACACTTTTTACACGAATTAATATTTTTGTTTAAATATATTATTTTCCCCAACATTGTACTTCTTTATAATATCAAGACGAACAAGTCGAGCGCCCTAATGGTAAACGACACACTTGTCCATAACAGTTGCAGTGCCACTCAGAGCTTTAAATCACAAAGTTCTGAGGGGCACTGCCACTGCGCCCGTAGCCTGAGATAAAAGTTGGCAATCGCATGTGCCTGTAATTTCACCAGGACTTTTGCCCTTTCGAAACCGGAACGCACTAATATTTAAATAATATCTTAGGCGAGTAGTTTTATCTTACGAATTTTTCCTTTGCAGTAAAACTATTTCCGGAAATCTGGAATTCGAAATTTATAGTCTGCCTTTTTTAAAAAATGGATTAAAAATGACAATTCAATGCGCAAAAGTGTTGGCCGCTTACAAGCAGCTAGTGATTGCAGTCGATAAATATTCTATCGACTATCGACTGAATACTGGTCACGCTTATGCAATAAACAGCTTAAGTTGTTTAATTTGAATGATGATCGGCCCATTATTCGTCCAAGCACTGGGCACAGGTTCATTGAATTGTCAATGTTTGTAAGTTCATAATTAAACACACTGCATTTAAAACTATGTCTATGAAAAATACAATGAGTAGACATATTTTAAAAGAAGGAGGGTGACATCCCATGTAATTTGTGACCCAGTGTTTTTGACGACGTGCATTAAAGAGACCTATCAATAATAATAATCTTTATAACAATCTTTATTTATCTTAAAACATGGTTTCTTAAACAATAGGGGCTGGAGCCTCCTTTTAAGCATAGCCTGTGTCAGGAACTATCAATACTTGTGATTCATTATCAAAGCACCAAAAAAGCTAATTGAGTACAGTTTGTAGAAGCTGGGGGTTATAAACTTATATATAGGTTATGTTTATAACAATATCCTATATATCGCTTCGCTGTTTGTTCGTAGTAGCAGAATACAACAAGTTTTCAGTATGTTCCTAAAAATATAAAGAACTTGTTGAATATTCCTAAATCTGCCACAAATGGCCACACTGTTCTCAATCTCAAAGTGACATTGACATTGGCAAGAGATTGTCAAACGTTCCTTTGATAACTTCCGTATCTCTCATTTAAATATTGTCTAAACATTATTGTCTCATTGGGTTTTTTATTTTCACTTAAGGTCATTATTGTTTAAATGATTATTTGATTAGGTATTTTATAACTTTATGTTTTATGTGTGTTCTATAAAATAACCAATAATAATAATAATAATAATAATAATAATAATAATTGATTGATTGATTTCGGTCCGTAGATGCTGTTAAAACCAGTCAACAGGCTGAGAGGGAAAAACATCTACAATAATAATAATAATAATAATAATAATAATAAAGAGTTTAAAATAAATACGATAATAATAATAATAATAACGTTTTGTTCTTGCATCTATTGTATTATACAATGTTTTACAATTGTTTTTGTTCCCGACTTCTAAAAATATACAAAAATATATTAATAACTGGGCATAAAGTAAAGTAAAATTACTAATACTAGCAAAGTCCATGAACGTCACTTCGTTGATTTTGGGTCAGCTTTCGCCATCCTTCTTTTACATTGTAATTCAATATACATAATCAAATCCGCTTGATCTTTCTAAAGGTAGAAAGAACAATTGATTTCGATACTGGTAGGCCAACTGTCAAAATACAAATGAAGAAGGCCAATACGCAGTTATGGTAATCATTAGAACGTCGTAACATCATAATTCAGACATTTTGAGCAATATTTTATCTTCTTTCACATTCTATGCATAAAACAGTCTACAACAACTGTACTTATGTTTAAAATTTTATGAAAACTGACAACCCTGCAAATGCCATTTTTTGAAGACGGAGTGTCTTCAAAAAAGACAGATTTTAACTAATATTTGTTGGTTTTAAACACGTTGAATTTATATTAAATTTATATGTAGATATTTATCTACACATGTGGAACACCTATTCCGATAATTGCTTATAACATTTCTTGAAACGAAACGCAACTTGTTTAAAAAAAGGATTTTACAAAAAATAAGCAAACTCACCATTACCATGCCCAGCGCAAATCTTGTCACTAGTGATGTATTCCCTGAAACTCGGAGGTATATTAGCGAGGCACTCGTCGATATCCATATAGAGCAATTCCACCACTTTCAGGGCTGGATACTCGAGTTTGTTTGATCCTAGTCGATTCCAGGTTGCCACCTAAAATAAAAATAAATGACATTGAAGAGATTTCCGGTAGCCACCCCGTTATCTTTGATTATAATCACAGTTTCATAAACCATGCAGTGCGTAACGAATGTACCTACTTGCGCAAAGCATGGGCAGGGTACTCGAGGTAAATCCTGCAAACACACTTAATTTGCCGGACCGAGCGCTAAGGGTTGACGTGTGCGTGTTTTAAAATATTTTTTAATACGTTTAACGAGTTCTACGAGATTAAATGAAGGTATGTATATAAGTATAATGGCGCACATAAACTGTTTTGTTGAGTACTGTAATAAGCTAGATACCTTATTTTAGGCAGAATTTCCGTTCGTTGGAAGGAAAGTCAGGTGTAAAAATAGATTAAAATTACATAGAAGTAATGGGAATAAATGTGACATTTTCAGGTTACAATATTGTTCCACGTGGAACTGAGTACATGGAACTCTACTGGGAATAAACCTCAATGACATCACTTAATGGTGTCGCCGTCTCTGAGGTCCCAGGTTCGATCCCTGGCCGGATTAATGTAGAAAACTAACTTTTCTATATTTTCTCGGGTTTGGGTGTTTGTCAGCCGTTACTTTGGGCAGGGTTCAGTTACTCGCGCGGGGTTACGCGACAAGCTACTACCGCTGAGTGTATCCCCGACAGTGCAAGCACTCAGACAAGTCTTTCATTACAATCCTCGTACAACCCCAGCATTCGGTTCCGCACGACTGCATAGCGTGGGCAACGTTCTTCAACGTTCTCACCTCCCTAAGCGCGTGCTTAGGTTCCTTTTTCCTCGTAGTGAGCGCCTGGTGTCTTTGTTTGAAAAAATAAATAGGTGTACGCTATTTAGATCCGAAAGAATAGTTTAATTTCGTATGTGTTACGGACACCGAGCCACGCACGAGAACACTGTGCGCCTTGCGTCCCAACCGAGAGCGCGTCACCGTCTCCCGCGCCCCGCGCACCGCGCCGACCGCCTGCTCACCGACACCTCTACTAGATGAGAGACTTGATTTAGGATGTAAGTAGGAACATTTCGGGCAATAAACGTAGTCAGTAAGCAGTTGAACAAGTGTTTCATTTCCGATCCTGATCCCGACAAGAGCAAGAACCTCATTGATCCAAATTAAGAACCTGAACAAAACCAGTCCACCGAACATCTTAGATCCTACGAGAGCTAGATCATCAATACTATGTGCAACAATCGCGAAATCCTAAGAACTCAATAGGTGTTGAACTTTCAACGATATGCCAGCTGGGCATTGACTTACAAATAAATGGACGACGGGTCTAATACGAAATCCACGAAAAAAATGTCCCAAGTCAACCTATTCGAAATTTAAATTGTAAGGTCATCGCAGTATCGCGCTGTCAGTAGAACAAATGAAGACTAAAGCGGAGTGTCGCGCTCTGTATACGATTTTAGCGCCTTACAAGTGCGGACACTTTTTAGCGCGGACCCGACGTCCATATAATTGTAAGTCAATGCAGCTGGGTAAAGTTTAAATTATATTAAAAGTCCAGAATTTGTTACATCTTTGTAAATTCGAAATTACGTCTAATCTTTATAAAAACTTTAGAACAGAATAGAACTAAATCATTGATTACTACGCCACAATACAAAAATACACAGTAAAAAAGATAAAAATTTTCATATTGTTAATCGTTTGGCGACTGTGGTTCTGGTAAACAAGTCTTAAGGCATTTTTCATTTTCAAAATGGCCACCACAAAAATACAACGATTTCCCGCGAAAAATGTCTGAAAATTACAATTACAATTTTTCTACAATAAACTATTGTAGAAAAATTGTAATTTAACATCGGGCAATATGACCAATTAGACGCCTTGGCCTGACCTGAAGGACGAAATATTTTGTCACTATAATAAATCCCCCTATTTTTTCGCAAACTTGAGACTTTAAATTTATTTAATACTTATTATACAGGTTGACTTTTTATCAGTACCAAAATGTTTTCTTTGCACGGGAGCGGGACACGGATGTAGGCCTGATTATAATAATAACGTACCAGACAAACACACCAATTGCCAGATCTCAAATTTCTCAAATTGGTCCTACCGGGATTCGAACCTGCTATGTGCTAACCATTGGGCCACTGAGGTCGTCAAATTGTACTTCGATCTCACGCGTCTCAAGGGTGGAAAATAATTCTAATTGCTGTGGTATAGAAATCAAAATAAGTTGAAAAATTGGTTATTTCAATTACGTTCCTAAGTCGCCAAAAACAGATACGTAATGTAGATGTTACTTAGGTATTTCTTTTTTAAACAATTGTGAGTGTCACGCTAAGGTTATTAAGTTTATAAATAAACATAATTAGCATGCGCCACTGATCCATCGCCGCACTGACCGTGAGTACGATAGTGGGTGACGGAGGCGCGGAGAGCATGAAACAATTCCATAGGCCGGAGTGCGATTCGCGTTGTGTGTTTAAAAACGTGGCCGTTTTTTTGGTAAAGTTTAGGAGGACATGTCTCAACATTTTAGTACTGGGTGACACTAGAACAAAAAACAAGCATATTGCATTTTCATCAAAGATCGTAATATTAAAATTGGCTAGTGATAAAAAAGTCACCCTGTATAATATAATAAATTAGTCGCAAGTTTGCCATCTTATTTTTATGAACATACATTTACCCCAATACCGATACTTTCTAAAAAGAACTTACTTGTCCTGACTTCCCGCTCTTCAATTGTGTACTGTCAAAGTTAACATCGAAGTCGAGACATACAGGTCTCACGTAGGAATTGTACTGAAATGCCTGAGTCAACCTCAATATGGCGATATCCTCCTGGAAATTGGTGATTGCGCCTTGGAATCGTAACGGGATTTTGATGTCCTCTACCTGGAAATTACCAGCGAAAAAATGAGTAAGTTGGATATGTTGTTAAACAATTGTTTTAAACAAAAAAAATGTACAATATCATATAGCAGTGAAAATTGTTATTATAATAATATAGTAACAATTATCTCACGTTTTCAAGAATATTAATACAAAAATGTATTGATCGAAACAGGTTTTATTGATTAATGAGTGTCAAAAGGCGGAAAACACATATTTAAAAGTTGTGATATTTTGGCATTGACTTACAATTATATGGACGTCGGGTCCGCGCTAAAAAGTGTCCGCACTTGTAAGGCGCTAAAATCGTATACAGAGCGCCAAACTCCGCTTTAGTCTTCATTTGTTCTACTGACAGCGCGATACTGCGATGACATTACAATTTAAATTTCGAATAGGTTGACTTGGGACATTTTTTTCGTGGTTTTTGTATTAGACCCGTCGTCCATTTATTTGTAAGTCAATGTATTTTGGGAAAACGAGGTATACATTACCTTGAATGAACAAATAAATGAATGAAATATTCTTTTCATCACATTTGCTCGTAAATAGTGTGATAGCATGGTGGCTAACTTAACTATAATGCCCCAAATAAAACTCACGGGATTGTTTTCTTTCCATTACAGCTATGGTCGGTAAGACGATTCTTGTTTAATAGTCACGTTCAAGTTCAAGCAAGGAGGTTACTTAAGTTCAAAATTAAAACATTCCTGTATAATGTTATCTAAATAGAAATTTAATTGCAATTGAGCGACGTACTACTTAAATACTTATTATTAAGAATTTCTTATAATTTTTGACCTTAATTATTTTCTGTATAAAAATTTAGCAATTTTTTTACAATAATTCAATATGGCTGAATACGGCTTTGTTTTTTAGAACATTTTAGTTCAAGGTGTATTATCTATGGAAGAATGAAATAAAAACAAAAAACCCGCAATTTGCTAAATCCATATTTGTTGTGTTGTGAACAATAGTGAACTATAACTTGTATTGTATTTATTTCCTCGCAAATGTTATGACAACACATTGTATGTATCATGGTCGGTAAAAAAATACAAAACTCGAGATAATAAAGCCCTCAGCTTCTAAGACCTTCGTTAGTAATATCATATTTACCGCCCCTTATTACAAATGTACTTGTAATTATTGCATATAAAAAATTACAATGACAACACAGAAATACGATGACTGTTGCTCGTACCCATCGAGTATACAACCAGAAATAGAGACGAAACAAAGGCCATCCATCCCTGGCAACTCATCAGGTAAATGGGCCTTATATCACTTTTAAATATCAACTCTCGTTTGCGCTGAAATCACAAATTAGAAAACTGAAGTAGTATAGCGCCAACAACTGACCTGTGTGTACGTGTCCGTATATTCCTAAAATATTCTGTATTTATTGTAATAAAGATAATATCTCTGACAATGGGGTGCTGTTCCTTTCGGAGGTGTGGGAAAAACAGCATAACATCTAATTACAAAACAAACGGAATCACATTTCATCTGTAAATAAATATCAAATACCTATGTAATTTTTCAATTTTCGTCCATTATAGCAAACCTCAAGTTAAACTGGTCGATTTGAAATGAAACAATTGACGACACCGTTCGGGCTGGCCAATCGGAGCTCAGTTGTCACCGTAATGATTTGGCAGAATAGTTTTCAAACAAATTAAGTGACATTTCGTGTCTATTTGTGGTTATATACTCGATACTAGTACCCCATCTTTTGATGTATCTATAGCCATCGTTTACCCGCCGCCCTTACCATGTCACCCGTCCATCTAGTAGGCGGCCGTTGCACTGATCCCTTTCGAGATATTGGCTCCTAAATTTCTTTTTCTTTGAATAATGTCACTTACGCTGATTTTGCTTAACAATAAAATTGAAACAGAGGGGTTGTGATTAATAAAAAAATCCGATTTCGTTAAAAAATTCGATAAGGATGGCATAATGGGTGTGGTAGTCAGGCACATTAGTATTATTATTAATTCTTACATCGGATTTCTGGGCATGAAGGTCTCTAGGCTCATTCCACGGGCGGTAAAGGTTGCCGACAGCTACGGCGTAGTTATCAGCTGGCTGGAGTTTCTTCATCTCCGTCCAAAAACAGTGGGCCGCTGCAAGTCAATTTAATTAATTTACAAAAATGATAATAATAAAGCCACATGTGAACACATTAACAGCATAGTGGAATAAGAACAAGTGTGGTACCTATCTCTTATTCTTATATCCTGCTTATGGATGCTCTAACATCGGATATACAGGAGGAGGCACCCTGGTGCATGCTGTTCGCCGACGACATTGTACTTTTCGGGGAGGATGCACTTGAGGTCCAGAGCAGACTGGAAAAATGGCAGGTAAGACTGGAGAGTGTCGGGTTGAGGATTAGCCGGTCAAAAACCGAACAGCTTTTTCTCGACTTTGGCGGTGCCTCCAGTTCTACCAATATTGCCTTAGATGGTGTATCCCTACCAGTCTGCTCCGATTTTCGGTACCTCGGTTCGTTAATACAGAACGACGGCGAATAGACCGCGACGTTAAGAACAGAATAAGGGCAGGATGGATGAAATGGCGACAGGTCACAGGCACTATTTGCGATCGGTGAATGCCCCTTAAGCTAAAGGGGAAAATTTACAAGACCGTGATTAGACCTGTCATGTTGTATGGATCAGAATGTTGGGCGATGAAAAGGGAGGATGCACGAACTGTGCATGTATCCGAAATGCAAATGTTGAGATGGATGTGTGGAGTGACGAGAAAGGATAAGATAAGGAATGAGTACATCAGGGGAAGTTTGAAAGTGGCGCCAGTGACGGAAAAGATGGGGAGTAATAGGTTAGCGTGGTATGGACATATCATGCAGAGGGAAGAATGTCATGTGACGAGAGGAGTGTTAGGTATGAATGTAGAGGGATATAAGGGGAAAGGAAGGCCAAAGAAAAGATGGATGGATTGTGTGAAAGATGACATGGATAAGAAAGGTGTATCCCTACCAGTCTGCTCCGATTTTCGGTACCTCGGTTCGTTAATACAGAACGACGGCGAGATAGACCGCGACGTTAAGAACAGAATAAGGGCAGGATGGATGAAATGGCGACAGGTCACAGGCACTATTTGCGATCGGCGAATGCCCCTTAAGCTAAAGGGGAAAATTTACAAGACCGTGATTAGA